CCTTTTACGATGATAAGTCTGTAGTTTTACTCGGTACAGGACTTCAGGACTAATATTTCTTGCCAAAAGTGGTCTATCGGGTATTGCAAAAGTGTATTGTTTGCTGCCCATACAACCAAAAACATGAGACTTCTTCAGAGACTGGTATAAAAATGTGAAAATATCCTCTAATATGTCTTAGTGTCTGATAACAGCGAGCTTAACTTCTAGAGTATATATATACAAGGCTACTGTCCAAATTATGCATAACCAACACACACAAAAAAGTGTCTGCAGTAGAAGTAGGAAAGAAGACACCATTACGAAAAGTAACACGAGTGACTTTTCTTAGAATTTGTTCCCGCGAAAGATTATTCTCATTCTACCTTTTTTCCCCCCTTCCTTTTTTTTTGCCTAAAACTCCGGAGAAATCGCAAAACTGTGATACGACGAGGCTGACCAACGAGAAATCATTGGGCCGAGATAATGTTCGGTGTCTCGAAACCCTCCTTTCCGCGCGTGTTGGTTGCGTGAGCCACGTGTCCGTTGCGTGTGTGTGTGTGCATATGTGTGTTCTTCGTGTCCCCCGGTGTCCATATGATTCGTCGCGTGTGGAGGGTTTTTTGGGAGAGTCTGGCTTTAGTGTTCTGTGACTGGTAGATGCAGGAGGAAACTGTGACTAGCATAAAATATATTTTCCTAAACGCACCTAGTCTCTGCCTTTAAGGAGGTTGGTTGTTCTTCACTTCCATCCTTCTAAGTTATCAAAATAATGGATATCGTGCGAATATTGTGAATAGTATATATATTAAGAATAGCAAAATTCTTCGAGAAATGTTCTGTAAATGTTCTCTACTTATTGACTGTGAGAAAGTTAAGATTGTTATTTCACTAGAGTGTACTATTGTACCCATAATACTACGAAATCTTTACTTCTATTAAAGTTTACACGATTAAAAATACTAACAGACAAAGCAAAGCATTTCTTTATCCTTAATTCTGGTTCTTAAAGGATCTCTGAATGATACAAGAGGAAGGGAGGTAGAGAAATATTCATTTGAATAACATTTACTATTCGCATATCACACCTTTCTTGGTATAATGGATCTTCTTGCAAAGTCTAGTATAAGTGTAATTTCACTTGCACTTTTAGCTTTGTGATATGTGAATACAGCTGTTAATAAGGAGCAAAATCAGTCTAAAGGGAAAAGGTGATTTTCTCTTTCACACACACACACACACACACACACACACACACACACACACACACACACACACACACACACACACACACACACACACACACACACACACACACACACACACACGCACACACACACACACACACACACACACACACACACACACACACATATATATGTGTGTGTGTGTGTTTATATGTATGTATTCACACATATAAAAGTATGTGTGTTTGAAATGTAAAGAAAATTATGACCACAGTGAACATTATAAGAGGAACAATAACAAAGCAAAGGCATTGATAATAAGTATGATAGTGATAACGAAAATGAATAACAAAGATAATCAGAAAGATCAAGTAAGCCTGTTTGCTTGCTTGTTTATTGTTTATATCATATTCATTGAACTTGATTGACATTATCATTTATAAAGAATCTATAATATGAATAAATATTTGTACGATCATCTCTCTCTGTCTCCGTCTCTCTCTCTCTCTCTCTCTCTCTCTCTCTCTCTCTCTCTCTCTCTCTCTCTCTCTCTCTCTCTCTCTCTCTCTTCTCTCTCTTCTCTTCTCTCTCTCTCTCTCTCTCTCTCTCTCTCTCTCTCTCTCTCTCTCTCTCTCTCTCTCTCTCTCTCTCTCTCTCTCTCTCTCTCTCTCTCTCTCTCTCCATTCCATTTAAAAGCATTTAATCTCTCGTTGATTTATATGCAAATCACAGAAGCTCCATTACTCTTATCCAAATTGTGCCATACACGGGGTGAACATGACAGTGATAGTGATGGTGATGATGAAGTCCATAACAGCAACAGTAACAACAATAATGAAATATTACGATGATGATGATGATGATGAGGATGATGACGATGATGCTGATAATAGTAATGATGATGATAATAACAATAATAATAACAACGGCAATAATACTGGTTATGAGAATAATATTGATGACGCAGTAGTAATAACGACAATGCTAATAATAATAATAACGATGATGATGATGATAAAATTAAACAAAACTAATGATAATAGTGATAATAATGATAGTAATGATGGCAATAACAAGTAATATAGTGATGTCGATATTGCTAAAATCAATAATAATAATAATGAAGGTGGTAATGATAATAATGTTATTGATAATGAGGATAATTACAGCAACAACAACAATAATACCAACAATAATGATAATAATAATGATAATGATAATAATAATAATAATGATGATAATAATGAAAATAATAATAATAATAATAATAATGACAATAATAATAACAACGATAATAATTATAATAATTTTAATGATAATGATAATAATGATGA